TTCATAGTTAGCCAGATATTGAGGGAATTTGCCCCTAAGGTCTTGATTTAGAACACTTCCTGATGAGCATAAAGGTACAGTTCATCCATCCTCATACCCACACTCAAGGCAGTGGCCTGGTCAGACTCTGGGCCAACCAAGATGAGCACTTCACTAGGACAATGGTCTGTGCTTTAGGAAGATCAGCCCTAAGATGTGGGAGTTTATTCTCAGAATTTCTCATGAGTTCCAAAAAAGGGAAATGCTTACCTGAAGCAGACCAATAGTCTATCTGGTGTGATTGAAACTGGGGATGGCCAGTATGTGACATCTGCCTTTCCCTTTCATTCACAAATGCTACATCTTTCCCCCTTGTGCCTGGACTGAAATCTTCCCAACCACTACTGATTGATCAAGCTCACACTTAAACTGAATCCTATTTTCAGGTCTGAGATGCACAACTTCTGGAAAACAACTGGAAATCAGAGAGGAATCGGCTGGCAGCTGTGTCAAATAGCAAGAAGGCGCATTTGGGCCATTGAACTATTTTCTCAACTACAATTGCCAATTCCAGTCTCCATTAAATAAATGCTATCCTATATGACACTGAGTTAACCATAAAACTTAGCAATTTTTCCCTTTTTCCCAAATTATTTTATCTCCTTTTTGATACAAGAAGCAGTTTCCTTAGTAATTAACCTAACTCTACAAATTCTTTAGGTGTCATCCTAGTTAACTTCCCTTCTTTCCCCACCTCCATGTAACTTACCAGCAAATCAATTCCATCTCTAAAATACATCCACCTACTCCTCTGCATTTTCATCACCACCCTCTCCATCCAGGCGCAATTTTGTTTCCAGGGTTCCTGTGCAACATCCTCCTTCCTAACTGGGTTTTTCACCTCTAGTTGTGCCTCTTTAAATCCATTCTCCATCCAGCAGCAGTGGCAACACTGAATTTTTTTTTTTTTTTTTTTTTTTTTTTTTTTGAGACTAGTCTCACTCTGTTACCCAAGCTGGAGTGCAGTGCAGTGGTGTGATAATAGCTCAATAGCTTCTAGACTCAAGCAATCCTCCTGCCCCAGCCTGCCGAGTAGCTAAGCCTACAGGCATGTATCACCACACTCAGCTGATTTTAAAAATGTTTTTAGAGAGACAGGATCTCACTATTTGCCCAGCCTAGTCTTGAACACCTGGACTCAAGAGATCCTCCAGCCTTAGCCTTCCAAAACACTAGAATTACAGGTGTGATCCACCACACCTGGCCAACTGATAGTCCTAAAGTGGAAATCATATCACATCATTATCCTTTTTTAGGCCATTTGTTTTCTATTACCAGAGTAAAACCCAGACTCTTTGCTGCGGCCAGCAAGCCTCTGCCTATCTCGGCAACTTCACCTGCACCACTGTTCCGTTGTTCTTTCTGCTCTAGACTCATGGTCCTGTCTCCTTCCTCTCTGCAAAACATTCACTTAGAGACCTGAGAGAAACCAAGCATAGCCAGACCTTATAGTAGCAGGCGATATTTTACAGTGAAGGCTGAAGGGGAGAAAAAAATGGGAAATAAAAACAGAAAAAATGCTATCTTATTTTATAGCCAGCCAATCTGTTTTCCTCTTACAGGGGCTCCAGGCAGACATATTCTAATGTTTTAGGACAATTAGAAATCTTGCTTTGATGCCTGGCAAAATACAGGTTGCACATTAAGAGGAGCATGTATTGCATGGCCAAGTTGCCAGTATGCATTTGGTTGCCCTGAGCATCTTCAAGCATTTGTGTCTGTCCTGCATGCAGCACAGAAAACTTCCTCTTCTTCCAGTCAAAGGACAAGGCCCCAGAGAAATTCATATGCAATTTAAGTGTGTTCTTGGTCAGGATAGCTATTTGCATTCAAAGGAAGTCATTTCTGAAGCATTCCTTTCAGAATTCCAATTAGAGATTTAAAACACACGCACGTAAATGAGAACGCTTTAAAACGAGGTGTAGAACCATATTGAGGTTACTAACTTAATAATGTTTGAGCCATCAAATAAATGTTCCATAGTAGTTCATAACACATTTTAAGTTATGTCTAGGTTGGTTTGGGTTAATAGTCCCTTTAATTATTCTAATGAGGCTTCCTTGCCTGCCAAGCTATATTCTCTTTCCATTTAGCCTCATCACACTACTGTATATTTTTTATGGGTTCCCTAAAATTGGTGCTAAGGGAGTCAGCTCTGTCCAGGAAAGAAAAGAGTTTATCTGTGACTCTGAATCCATGTATTGATTCCACAAAGACTGAAGAGCACCTATGGTGTACCAGGCACTGGGCAGGCTGAGCACCAGGACAAGGCACAGATTCCTCCTTATAAGAGTCTATGATCTGGTTAGGGGTTACCAGGCAATTCACATGCAGAGCGTAACTGATCAGGAAAGGAGTTGAAGCAGTGCAGCATGTTTGAGGAGGTGTCCAGGAGTGTTGTGTAGAAGCTGAGACACAAGGAAAAGTCAGAATAAGCCAGGCAGAGGAGTGGGTGTCCCCAGCAGAGGAAAGAGCCTGAGCAAAGACCCGGAGGGGGTGGGTGCCCAGGCAGCGTGAGCATCCCAGCTGCGCCAGCCTCCATCAGGTGTTATATTTTGAGCTCGTGGATCCCCATTCACCTGAGTCGCAGGTTCCCAGATTTTTATTCCCCTAGCTCACCTGTGGGGCACACTTTTGTCATTCTCAGACTTCAATTTCGAATAAGAAATCTTTAAGAGGCATCCCCCAGCCCCCACCCCCAACCTCCACAAAAAAAGTATTTTTTATCTTGCCAGGGCTAGATTCAAATAATGAGAATGTTGTGAAGTATGAAATGCACAGCCAATGGGAATGTAATTTAAAAGAAACTTATTTTAATAACTGAATAACCCTGGACTTATAAAACAATTTAGGGCCAAAAAGAGTAACCTTAATTTTTTTCACTTGTCCTTCACTGCATTTTTCTAGAACATAAGCTTTACCAGGGCAAGAACTTTTGTTTTGCCTCACTAATGTTTCCCAAGTGCTAGAATGTAAGCACATAATAGTCATTCAGTAAATATTTGTTGACTACATAAGAAACGTTATGGGGGCTATTATGTTCTATGGAGGTTTCCCATATCCTGGGAAATCTTGATTATCAAGGACCATGGTGGTCCTTGAAAGATGAGGGAGGGTTTCCCCAGAATGGACAACAGCGGTTCTAATACGGCAAATAAACCAAGGACAAGGCTGTTAAAAAAGAGCAGTGTGTGGACAGAGAGAACATAGAACAAAGGATTTCAATACATTATTCTGTCCCACACAGTACTGTGCAATCATTTCAATCATTCTTCATTCACAAGCCAGTTAAGAAAAAACTCCTAAGAGAAGCCCAAGGACTCAGGGCCAAATGCCCAGCACTGGCAACATTTGCCCACACTTCCGTGACAGTACGTAGAAAGCAAGGAACCTTGGCCTGGCACGTTGGTTGCTTCAAACTCACTTCGGCTGGAAGGCAGGGAGCCTCAGTCCTTGCCAGCACTGGTTTGAATCCTAAGTGAACTCCCCTGGCTTCGGGACAAATCTTTCTGGTGTGTGAACCCTTCAACCTCCTGCCACCGCAAGGCTTTCTTCTACTCTCACCTCAAACCCCTAGGAAACTTCTCTGAAACTTCAAAAGTTACTCACTCAGACACTGCTTTGTTGGTTGGAATATAAATGTCCAAGAGTCTTGACATCTTCTATGGGGATCTTTAAAGAAGACTTCAAAGAAAGAGCTCTCCTGCTTTGAGAATTTCCCACATAAGTGAAAACAATTGCCCCTTTCTATACGTCTCTTTTCTCATCCAGAGGGACTGGTATATTAAAAGGCCTGAGAGAGTGCCAGTGAATAGACTCACAAGCCTGTGCTGTGCCTTGGAGCCACGGAGCCAGAGATGGTGTGGTTGCCGGCATCCTCCAGCCCCTTTCGGCCCTTACGTGACAATATGTGGACACTGCCACTTGGAAATCAGACTCTATTCTTTGGGAGTAGATGATCATTTTCCTTTTATGAGGACGAAATCAGTTTTTATAAAGAAGAAACAAAAATCTTTTATGAAATTAAAATCTGAAACAGCATCTTACTTCTGGACATGGCGTCTTCTATTTTACAGGCCATGTTTATCCTACATTGTGTATAGAATCGGGGATAAGGGTTGGAGTTAAAAGGAAAAACTTAGAAGTCGGCGAGTGCCCACCCCTCCACTGAAAGATAAGAGAACGGAAGAATTTTAACTGTTGTCCCAAAACCCACACAGAGGAAAAAGGATTGAGGAAAAAAATAAGCGAATGTTTTGAGTCTGATCCTCAGCTTATGAGTAATGTAAAATAACAGCACTTACCTCATAGAGCTTTGGAGAGGATTAAGGGAAATGACACCACAGCCCAGTTACTGGCACATAGTAACTGCTACATAAGCGAGTTCACTTGGTTAGTAGCTAAGGAGATAACCACAGCTCTGGCCCAAACGAGTGGCTCTCAATCGCAGCTGTGGATCAGAATCATCTGGGATGTTTTTTCAAAAATGCTCAAGCCTAGGCCCAGCTGTGGACATTCTGAGTTAATTGCTCTGGGGTGAGGCCCAGTTTAGGTACAGCTGACCTCACCAGGTGATTCTGGGCAGCCGAGGTTGAAAATCGCTGCTGTAAGAGGTCCAAGAACAAAAACAAAGATTATGTACCCTTATGACTGGATACATACCAGGCAGATGGTAAACAGGGGAGGAAGAGGGAGAGAAAGGGGGAAAAAGGGAGAGCAACAGAATGAGAGAAGAAAATTTTAAATAGTATAGTAAGGTTTAAAAACAAGTTTGAAAATGACATCTTTTGTCAACAGCAAGTGTGTGGTTGCTACAAAAGATAATAATGCCCAACCTAATTGAAATGAAGCAATTACTAAGTCTTAATAAGAGTCTTATTAAAACAACGGAGTTTTCATCTGTCCTTGTAGCTAGGGAGACCTGTTGATACAGCTAAAAGACATAGGAAAACACACCCAGATTAACAAGGGGGCAGTCATTTAATGCAGAAATCCAGTTAACATAAAGAGACGGAGGTTGAACAACAGGTCTTCAAACAATACTGCATAGTGTCACGAGTTAGCTCTTAAGCACGTTTGATCTGTTTATCTTATGATTTCGATTCCAGTACAGAGACGGAGAAGAGACTTCAATTAAAAAAAAAAACAATAAGGCAACAGAAGAAGAATCTTCCTGTGACAAGGAACATCCACAAATAATGCACAAATATTTGGTGCTGACACAATAAGACACCATCAGGACAAGTTCTGAAGATGCTGCATTAAAATTTAACAAGCATGATACAATGACAAGAAAATTATACTCGCTTTGTTACGAATCCTTTTGCAAATAGAAATGACTCTCAGGTAATTGTTATATACAAACTTTCTGAAATAAATGGAAATCATACAAATTTTTTTCCATTGCAGTTTCTTCTTTCTCTACACCTAGAAATGTCCCATGGCACTGCTCCCTATTCTCACAGTCAAAGCATAAATAGTCATTAAAGCACTTGAATCCACAGTAGTCTTGTCCTTAGAAAGGTTGGGAGGTTTTGCATGATTTTCTATCAGTAATCCAGAAAGGGCTGGCAGGCAACAGGTTGGAATGTAAAAGACCGCTTTGTGCTTGGAATCCTGAACTCCGCGCCGTTCCCCTCAGGGAGTCGCTCGCACTGTGGACAGGCCCAGTGCGTACAGTCATACCGTGGAGTCTCTGCCAGACTTTAGCTGTGCAATCTTGGTCCGGCTAATAAACGGATAAGCGATGCAGAGACCTCCAGCTGCCACAATAAAGCCTAAACTGCACCAGGCGCAAAAGATGGACCAGCTGTAACCATGTTCCACATCGGCAGGCAGGCTATAAATTAGCTTCGGGAGCCGGTTCAAATCATAAGAGATACTGGCGGCATAAGTACAGAGGGAAATGGTGCAAAATATCCCTGTAAATAATACAAAGAGAACAGAATGATTAGTTACAGTTTGCCTGTTACAAGACAAATGCCAGACAGGCCTTTATGAAAATCAGATCAACCATTGAGGCGGTCACTCCAAATTCACAAATGATCTGTAATTCTTTTACTTGAATTAATTCATTTGACAAACACCGGCAACACTTCTGTGTGCCAGACCCTACACTAGGGAGTGGAGACGCAGGAGTGAAAAAGATAGGAAAATTCTGATAACCTGCATTATTCAGAATTATCTAATTCGAATGGTTATATATATTGGAATTCATTTGTTTATTATTAAAAGCAAAAGTTGTATTTTTAAAAGAAAAACTTCTATCATCAAATCAAGCACAAAATAGTTTTCATTTTCCTTCACTCTCCACCTATTTTCATACACTTATTCTGTTATAATCATTATACAAAGTATGCTTTCTTTTTCAATTAACATTATCAAAGTATTTATCATGTTGCCTTAAATAATATTTTAGATGAATTCATACAAGTAGCTAAATCTTTTTTGTTAAGGCATAGTCTTACATATACCAGGGCCTCAACAAATGGGTTTTTTCAATGAATGAATGCTTTTAAATAGTATAAATTAAGTCCAGCAATATGGAATTGGTGTAAAATAGCTGACTAAGGAGATCATCCACTTTCACCATTCAAAATGGAGGCAACTGGAGCGACATAAGGAATACGGACAGACCCAAAGCATTGCTTTTTAGACCAATGCGTGTGTATGTAATTTTCCCTCTGCAACACTAAAATCAGAACTGATTTTAAAAATGCTTCATAAGCCCCAAACACAGGATTTTTACTACTCAAGTCATGTGGATATAGGTGCTTCTATTGTACCACAATGAACCCTCAAGATGCTCCTTTTGGATAAGCAGAGGATCAGAATGTGGTGAATAATAAAAACAGAAACTGGCACCCAATCAAGTATCAGAATGTCCAGTTCTGTTCTGAATCCTACACATCTCTTCTTCATGTCTGGTTTATCCTGCATACAACAGAGATAACATTTATTGGCTGGAAAATTCCTTTGGCATCCTTACAGATACATGTAGCATCTCCACTGGAAACAGACACAGATTTTGAAACTGAAAAGAGAGAGCTAAAAGTAGCAGATTACCTCTCCAACCCCCTCAAAGCTCCCCACCCCCTACCCACCACCCTTTTTTAACCTATAGCTTTGGAGATTAGAAATGCTAGCAGAAAAACAAATTCAGAGCAGGCAGCAATTTGGAGGAAATAAAGACCACCTTAATGCCATCTTTAAAATGTTAGAATTCTGCCTCCATTCAAATCATGTAAGAGCACACTGCCTGACTCCTTTTCCAAATGTGCATTTAGAAAATAAATGTCCTAAATTAAAAGGACACTTGATCTGACATAATTTGATATTTCCTACTCTTTGCTTAATTCTGCATTTAAACTCTAAAGTGATTCTGTTTTACTAAAAAGGATAAAATCTTTTCTTCTGACTTCTTGCTCCAATTTATTATAGCAAACATATCACTTTGAGTTCTCAAAGAGAAAAATTGAGATGGAAATAATTCTCTCATAAAGTAATGGACCATTCAAAAAAGAATACTCCACTTTTCTCAAACCTTGTGAAAAGCAAATGTTCTTAGATCTACACAAATGTTTTCACTGGCACCAAAACAAAGGCAGTTTTTATTTGTAACAAAGCCCTTTTAATAAATGCTGGTAGTAGAACAATAGGCAGTTAGAAAAAAAATAATCTTTGGAGCATCAACAAGTAAAACAGAATAATAGAACAATGACATCTTCACAGGAAAAACAACTGTATTCTGCATTTAGCTGTTTGCACACAGCTGAACGCCTAAAAGCAAGCATGTTTACAAGTAACATAGTTTTAATGACCTATGAAAGCTTGAGTTCAAACCTAAACTTTTAAGCATCCTTTGATGTCTAAGTGCGTTGGGTTGGGATGTGAGAAGTAAGTATTCTAGTTTCCAGCTCTACTAAACACTGTGCAAACTTGAAATTACCTAACCTCTCTGAGCCTTGGTTTCTTCATCTAGGAAAAAAAGAGTAGGAAACTTGATTACTGAAGTCCCTAAAAGTGTCAAATTTCTGTGATTCTGTTATTCCAAAATGAAACATGAAACAAGAACATTTATTAAAACTTCCTAGTGAATCTAGTACTCGGCTTATGCAATTAAATGAAAATGGAATGTCCTATGTACTTATCTTTCTATATATACTCCCTTTGATTTTACACTTAACATTTATTTTATTAGCTCCTCTCACCTGCCAACCCCATAAAATTGCTTTTCATGACATGAATTCTATCATTACACCACCGGTTCATACTGAATAGAAAAGAATTACAAGAAAGAATCTAATCTGAGGATTTAACCAGAATGATTTCTCTCTGCCCTCAATGTCATGGATGGTTGTGCTTTTCCTGGGGAATTGATTTGTGCTTACCTCATGGACACTGTGAATGATGTCACTAATAGAATTTTTCTTTGTCCAAGTTGCCAGAGCACTGACGCTCCCTAAAGCTAAATCTATAGCCCACCATGAGCAAAAGTATGGGATTTCATGGCATGCTGTTGGCTTCTAATCTCACTCTTGGATCCATCTTGCCTTGGAAACCTGATTATCCCTTTGTCTTACTTTATTTATTTGTATTAATTTAAGTGGCATCTCTATGCCAGTTAAGTTTTTTCGGAACAGGGCATGCATCAAACTTTGATGCAGACTTGTTTTATTTATTGTTGCCTTTATTCACTCAGCTGAGCGTGGTGGAGAGGAGGCCTATCAGCCCACAAGTATGTCCCCTCTCTATCCATCCCCCTTCCCACAAATGCCCCTATAGCTTGCCCTTCCGTAACATCTCTTCTCCTTTCAAAGTGCTCTCGAAGTTGTTCTTAGTAAGAGGAAAGCAGGGCAGGAAAGAGTGACAAGAAAACCATATTTAGGAGCTCTTCCTTTTCAGACCCTCACATTTCTAAGAATGTTTGCACATGCATAGCTGCCACCACTATGATTTGTGAGATGGGCAGGAATGTGTGATGATTACAATGAAATGTACTAAGAGGAGAAAAGCATTGTTTCCAACTTTTCCAACAAGCTTTTGTAAAAGAAGCCTAACCCATTCAAGATATTTTTAAAAACAAAACAAAAAATCTAAATTCAAAGACATCAAGAAAAAGCATTGTTTGAAATGACGAAAGCATTCTTACTGTAGCTGAATTAATAGTTTTAGGTCAATGTTGAGAGTGTGGAATTCTACGTTAGGTTCCACATACATGTCTTATAGTACTCATATGCATGAGTTTGCCAGAGCTGCCATAACCAACTACCACAGACTAGGTGGCTTAAACAACAGAACTTTGTTTTCTCACAATTCTAGAGGCTACAGTCTAAGGTCAAGGTGTCAGCGGGGTTGGCTTTTTAAACTTAGGACTCTCTCCTTGGCTTGTCAATGGCCATCTTCTCCCTGTGTCTTCACACAGTCTCTCCTCTATCACCATGACCAAATCTCCTCTTCTCATAAGGACAGCACTCATACTGAGTTAGGGCCCATCCATATCACTTCATTTTTACTTAATTTTCTCTTTAAAGACCCTTTTTCCAAATACTGTCACATTCTGAGGTGGGGGCAAAGACATCAACAAATGTATTTGAGGGGACACAAAGCCCATAATGTTCCGCACACGTGTGTGTATGTGTGTGTGTGTACTCATGCACAAAATATATTTTTAGCTTTTTTATAGGTTTTTTGCAAGATTGTACTATTCTAGGTGTTACTCAATAAGTTATTCAACAATTATCGAGTATCTACCATGTCCCAAACCTAGTTCTGGTATATTAGAGATAGTTAAGTTTCATGAGCTCTTTTTGGTCACAGCTGGACTCAGTTCAACACTGATGTGGTCAGGAACTTCAAGCAATCTCTCCACTCCACTTTCCTGTATGCATCTCAGGAAGAGGTCATAGAGATCTCTTAGACTTCCCATAAGTTCTGCGTGGAGTCCAAGAGAGCTGGGCACATGGAGTCAAGAAAACCTGAATGAAACTGAATTCTGCCATACGTTGAGTTCTACCAACTTAAGAGTCAGTTCATCGCAAATTACCCCAAGTAGGGATTACCTATGTAGCAAGTTATTTCTGATAATGCTGCATTTTCATTGGCAGCAATCTAATTAATGCAAGGTATGTGAAAGGAGTATGGAAGGATTAATAAGGCATCACCTCTGCATTCTGAAAGTTCAAAATCTAATGGTCCTTCCTGAAGATCCATGGGGAGAAAGGTGGTCTCTCCTCCATTCTTCTCTGAGGCTTTCCCTTCCTTTCCACTTCTCCCCTGCCTAGCTGATACTCTTCAGCCAGCTGGTGGCCCCCAGAGAGAGAGAGAGAGAGAGAGAGAGGTTCCTGAGTCCTGAGCTCGGTCCTTACTACTGCCGGCAGCATCTTCAAAAAAGTGAATAAATTACTGGTTTCCTGACAAGCCCTGCATGCAACTACTTTTCTTATAAAATATTAAAAGGTTTTCTGCCAATATTCATAATTAGAAGATACCACGATATCACAGAATTATAGGGCTAGAAGGGATATTTTCACATCAGGACAGAAGTAAATTTATGCTACCATCCCCACAATCATCAACCTAATTTCCTACCCTAAAATCTTCATGGTACCAGCTGGTAAGATGCAATTAGGGTAACGGGGCCCATTCTTTTGATCACCATTTTTTAATGTCCTTAAAAGACTGAAAGGAGTGGAAGTTGCTTCACCCTGTTTAGCCTGCTTGATAAATAATGTAACTACAACACCCAAAGGCATGAACATTGATTTTTTTTCCCCTACTCCTTCAAAAGGTGGCCTGCCCATCCTTCTGATCTCTTTGGTCTTCCTTCAAATGCCTTCTGCTAGTTTTCACACAGATTACTCAAAAAGCCATTCCTATATTGTCCTAACTGACTGGCAGAACTAACAGAGAGAAACAAACTCTTACACACACACACACACACACACACGATGCAATTCCTAAATCCCAAAAGCATCCAATCTGAAAGCATCCAATCTGAAAGACTGAAGCAATCTCTTTAGTGGCAAATCCTGGCCTGGTCTGACATAGGCTATTCTAGTTCTTACTGATCCCATTTAGTGTGAATATTCATGTGTTTAGCTACAGGCATGTTAATGTATTTGATTGCAAGATGCCACCCCAGATCTTGCTGAGGGTGTTAAATAACACAGGATATATGCACTGTGTTACTCTTCTAAAATAAATTTTTTAAATCCTGAATTATAAAACACACCTGGCCCCCAAGGTTATAGAAAAAGTATCATGGACCTGTAGTTTCAGGTCATAATCAACGGAAAATCTAGATAATTCAATACACCTACCATGGCGGAGTCTTTTTTTTTTTCTTTTTTTTTTTTGATTCATTGAAACAAAAGAATGAATAACCAGTGTGGGTGGGTGTTAACTGTCCCTGGAGCTCTGCTAGGGCTGCCTGGGCTCTGTCTTCTCTGTCTCTGCTGTCAGGAAGGGAGTGTTTCGTGCTGTGTGTGATCTTCCAGTTGGCCACTCAAGGCGCAGCCTGTGAAGGTGAATGAATTTGGTGAGCAGTGAGACCCCCACCAAGGGAGGCCCAAGCTTTATCCGTTTTTTAAGACTCCTAGTGAATTTAAAAAATACTAAAAATCCTACAACAGAGACCTAAAAAAGTGTTTAAAAATGTTTGCACTGAATAACCTTTTAAAAGATTTGTAACTTAAATTATAATAAGTATATTTATTATATCCATCAAATAGAATGCATCACTTAATAATATAGGTGGAAATATTCATTCACAGTACACTGAAAGCAGTATAGTCTAGTAATGGGCAGAAGCTCAAGGCTGGAAGATGAGAATCTTATTCCCTCAATCGCCTGTGTATGTTTCTGTGCCTGTGTGTGTGTAACCTCAGAGGGTATGACATCCAAAGTCTAAATTGAAGGCCCATGGGGGATGTGCAGGCTGGCCCTGGCCCTCTGGGAGGACCCTTGCATGGCCCCAGGGAAGAGGAAAGGGGGCGAGACCTGGCTCCAGATGTGCATCGACAGTCAGCAGGGCTGCTGTGTCACATGTGGTAATCAAGACCTGTCTGTGCAATCAATAAGGCAGAAGGAGAAAGATTGTTCCAACGTTTCCATTTTAACCGCCCAACCTGTCACATGGTTGATGTTCTTCATTTGAAAGTTTAGCTAATAAGTTCAGGCAGAGAATGAAGATGGCAGAGCATTAGAAGGGGCTAAGTTTAGCATCAAAACTCTGTGGGAAGGATGCTGAGTTGAGTGGCTAAAGACACTCTGCTTAATTAAAATGGATTCTTTTAACCCTTTTTTTGCGCTCATCTCCTGCATATGAACGTTCTACAGCTAATTTATCTCATGCAATAGATTGACGTGGTTGTCTCAGTGTTTGCAAAGGAAATTTCAAGGCATTATTTGTAGTAACAAAAACAAAACAAACCCCCCTGAATCCCATAGCAACAGAACAGGTGAATCCAGCAGAGCATATCCACTCCATGGAAAAACATGTTTCTCCTCTCCCCCTCTTCCATCCCCTCCCCTTTTCTTCTCCTTCCTTTTCCTTTCTTCTTTGCTTACAATGAAGCAAATACATGACAAGATTTGGTCCAGAATAAGGGAAATATTGAAAAAAGGTTGTTTTGTTTTCAGGTGATGAGGTCTGTAAGTGGATTCCCCCTTAATTTCAATAATGCTGTTTGGGCAACCGAAACTAAACAAAACAACAGAACAATGTTAACAATGTTAGGTTGTATCTGTCAGTCCTTCAGAACTGGTCATCAAACTTCAAGTTTATTATTTGGGTTTTTGATGTTGTTGTTGTTGGTGGTGGTGGTGGTGGTTTCTGTTGTGGGTATTGCTTTGCTTGTTTTGATGTTGCCTAACAATTACATAGGAGCTTCCCATGCTCGATCCTGAGGACTCCTGAGCTCCTCTGGTCCGGAGGTACAATCCACACATGGATCCAAAATAAGAGTTGAGAACAGGAAGAGGTGGAACTCGCCCAGGAAACTCCTGCCTCTCCTCTGTGCCCACCTGCCATTGAACCTTCAACTTCCTTTCATTTAAAACCAGACTGGCCCCTCAGTCTCCCAAGGAGCACACAGTAGGCTTTCATGGCCTTGCAATTTATTTTAGTTCTAGCAATTGTTAGAATCTTTAGTTCTAACAAAAGTTCTAACAAATCCCCTGACAAGAGGAGTGGTATGGGGCCTTTCCAGGGTTGGGAGGCAACACATCTGTACCTCTTCGATATTTATGGAGACAAGAGTCAGAAAAATGGGGGCTTAAATAAAGGGAGAGAAGAAAACAGGGGAGATTTTCAAATAATCACTAAGCCCCAGCAGAAGCATAAAGGAATCCTCCGTGCAGTGCAGTCCTCTCTGATTCTTTGCTGCCCTTGTCTGCTTTACTCTATAATTTGGATTTTAAATGCATCCCTTGGGCAAGAACCCAGTGGCTGGTCTTGAGGGTCCAAATCCGCCTCTAAAACCTCAGAAACTAACATTTTAGCCTCCCTGTGCTACAGTCCTGGTGGCCACTGTGTATTCACCAAAATCCAGAAAACCTAAATTGGTTTTCTGCTCAGAACTAGGCAGGATCCATGTGACTTCTGAATGTTCCAGGATGCTGGTGATCATGCCCCACATTCCAGATCACTGCCAATTGCAGCACCATTTCGTGGAGTGGGACAGGGACGAGTGGGAGTTAGAAGGAAGGATCCCTGCCTGTGAAGTGGGTTCCTTAAGGCTGCAGGGTGGTTGACCGTGCCAGAGGGCAAAGCACCCCCGATCTGTCAGCCCTCAGAGACAGTCAGTCAGCAAACAGTGGCAACCCTGGTGGGGTGTGGCCGCCTCCTGTTAACACAGGCGTAATTAGGTGACCCATTACAGTGACAAGTGCTAGGAAATCTAGGCGTGGTCACTTGAATAACAGAATTCCAGGCAAGTGGAAATAAGCCTATTTAAAATGGCCCTCTATCTAGGGGAATATTCGTTCTGTTGCTGAGTATACTTCGTGAAACTGTTAATGCCCAGTTAATTTGGCATTCACTAATCATTAATACAGGAGTTTTCTGTGAAGGAGGAGAAGAAAGGAAAGATTTCTTCCCTGAAGCTACCGTCGGTCAGTATTAGCCACCGACTCAGCACCTGGCACCTTTTTAGACAAAACTACCCTTTCGCTGTTAGTCAAAAACATCCTAGCCCTGTCTCCACACCCCCACCCTTTCCAATCCCTTGTTTAAAAATCAAGTCACTCCTTTGCTTCAAACCTTCTAGGGGCATCTGTCACCCTTAGCTTCAAATCCAAGCTCACCACCATGACCGACAAAGCCCTGAAGCTTTGGCCACTGCCCACTTCCCCCACCTCAGGTGATACTATCCTGTCCCTCACTCCCTCCAGTCCCACTGGCCGCTTCTCTCCGGTTTGGCACTAGTGGTTTCCTCAGTCTGCTGCGCTCTTCCCACCACCGGCTGCTTCTCAGGAATTAGCTCAGAAATCGCCACCTCAGCAAGATCTTCCCTGAGTCCCTATTTCACCCTGTTTCTTTTCTTCACAGCTTTTATCACGACCACAAATCATTGTTTATGTCTCTCCACAATAAAAATGAACAAGGATTTTGCCTGCCTTATTCATTGTGTGTCTTTAGCACTCACAGCAGTGCCTCTTACATAGTAAGTCCTCAAAGGATATCTGTGGAGTGAAATGAATGAGTGTTGTGTATGTAAAAGTGACAACATCACTAAAGCATGACCTTTGAATTGACATCCAGCCAGGGGATGGGTTGCGATGATCTATCCCCCTCTGTCTTTGAGGGCACCTCATAAGCAATGGCCCATGTTTGCCAAGAGTCCAGGCCAGGGTTTGGGGCACAGTAAGAAATAAGGAACAGAAAACGGGGCGTGGTGGCTCATGCCTGTAATCCCAGCACTTTGGGAGGCTGAGGAGGGGGGATCACCTGAGGTCAGGAGTTCAAGACCAGCCTGGCCAACATGGTGAAACACTACTAAAACTACAAAAATTAGCCAGGTGTGGTGGCACATGCCTGTAGTCCCAGCTACTCAGGAGGCTGAGGCAGGAGAATCACTTGAACCCAGGAGACAGAGGTTGCGGTGGGTCAAGATCGCACCACTACACTCCAGCCTGGGTGACGGAGTGAGACTCCATCTCAAAAAAAGAAAGAAGAGCAAAAAAACAGACTGGGCTCATTTTAGAGATTAAACCCAAGACACTTCCATCTAATCTACTAACAGGCCACAGTGGGGATATGGAGGATGCATTTTTCACACCACTGTTTTCCTTAAATTCTGTATTTCCCAGCAAAGCCAAAATGACCTTCTGGTTGCTTTTCTAACGGTGAAAACAAAATTAACAGGGAGATAACAAAGCGACACTAGCTAGCCACATGCAGAGCAGCCTTCACCTTGGCCGGGGCAGACGGCCTGAGACGTACAGCCTACCTGTCATGAGGAACAGGAGTCCAGCCACGTGCTGGGTCAAGCTCTCCTCCCAGAAGAAACTGACCGTGGCTACAATGCAGCCGCAGAGAAGGACGGCTACAGCCATGCCCAGGAAGCCAGCAGTGATTCTTCTTAAATCTAATCTCAAAACAGACACAGACATTCACAATCAGAATTCAGGAAAGTCATTAAGAATTAGAGAATTAGGGCTTTGTATACCTTGTGAAAATTAGCAAGTTACATGGACAGGCTTAGAGCCTACGGGGCGAGGAGGCTTAGGGAATACTCTTCCCAGGCATTCCATAAGAGGACTAATGGGGTGTAACCAATGGAGGGTCAGACTCTACCCTCTCTGAGTCCATGGAGAAGTCCACACCAAGTGGAGAATAGACTCGAGGACAAGCCCAGGATAGACCTGAGTAACAGACGTCAAATGACTTAAACCAAGAGTGAGGTGGGTTTGAGAAATATCTGTTAGCCTTAACAGAGCAACAGAAATGTAGGTTAACCAAAAACCACCTGTACCCCAAAAACTATTGAAATTTTAAAAAGGAAAAAAAAAGAAATGTAGGTTATCCCCATGGTAGTGGCTGTACTTAATCTGGCTTAGGAGAAAGAGCCTAAAAAAGCTATTGTGAAATAGGGTTTTATCTGATCACCACAGATGCCAATTATTTACTTCTTCATTTAAATCTACTCCTGCCTATTTTCAAAAACGATTTGAGAAAGTGAAGGTAATTGTGGTGACTGGAACAGTGGTGCAAAGTGCACACAGGATACATGTGCTCATAAACACCCTTTCCTCTGAAACATCTGCTCATAAATGCCTTCACCCCTAAAGCATAGATCCCACAACCTGGGCATCCATTTACCCAGGTGAAGGAGGTACTATTCCAATAGGATAAGTCTCCACTATACAGTGGCCCAACCATCAAGTTTGGCCTATTGCAAAATCACAACTGTGATTACTGAGCCAGAAATCCAGCTCTTTCCCCACCTCCCTGGCAAAACCAAGAGGCAGGCTGACTACATGTACCTGGACACACATTGCCTCCAACTATTAAACCGGCACTTACCTTGCCTACCTTCCAGCTATTTTACTTTTTCCATTTTCTTCCTTGTTTTTAAAAAAAAAACACTTTTTAATCTTTTTTATTTACCTTACAGCTCCATCTCAAAGGATTTTTTTTTAACAAATCTAACTTTAAAAATTGTTAGCTAAATTTCAATCATCCTTCTTAAAACAACACATCCCAAGCATACATCTGCTGCCCCCAAGGCCAGGTAACAGGTGTGGGCAAATGCACGTGGATCATGCACACCTGTGTACACATGGGGCCAAGACAAGGTGCACATCACACTGTTTGAAGTGTGGGCTGCTCTGCTAAAGTGAAAGTGCCCATGCAGCCATCACTTTATTGTGTGGCTCCTGGGCATTAGCGGTGGCTTCATCGAGGATGGATTACAGCAGCTTCCAGTCTTGCTCTTAGCATCTTAGCCACAGAGAGACCATCCCTTTTTTAAAGGGGGATTTCTCATTTCCAGTTCAGAGCATCCAAATTAAAAGAGAGTATTTCTGCCTAGAAGAAGAAATGTGGACACCAATGAACAAGGGGCCAGGGGCAGTGATAATATGAAGATGCTGAGTTTAATGTTAAGGGTATAAGTAGTTTTTGAGACATCCACATCTGAGCAGGGGAAATGTAATGGTTCAGTCACTATTATCTTACAGCCTACCAAATTTCCTGTGGTTTGAGTAATAGTCTATTTTCTGTGACTCTGAAAAGGCACAAGGTTCAGATATAATCCACATGGGATTTGCATTAGTACCAGTCATGTTAATCTTACACAGTAAATGTGCTACAGATCACCAAGTGTGACTTTCTTAGAAATAGACATGCATGAGACTGCTGAAAGCATCTTTCCATGAGAACTCCACGAAGGATTAAAAGAAGAATCTTCAAATATTGCTTGCTGGGCAATCACAGGCTACAAACTATTAAAGAGCTAAGGTTCTTTTTCAGGCTCCTATGATGATCTTTTCTTCCCTGACCTGAGCCAATAACTACATAGCTCTCTGGAAAGATGATTAAGTCTTAAAGTTGCCTGTCATAATATGTATAATATTAGACCACTGCTCTGGCAATATCAGAAGAGCTTCCATTTATATGTTTGAGATTCAGAACAGAGCCTTTTAATCCTCAGAGAGATTGACTTACAGAATAAGACTCTGATTAGTTCTCTACAGTGGCTTTGGCCACCACACAAGATCCTGAAGTCCTCATTACTTATTTCATTGGAAAATGACAATGTCAATCTCTGATGGGGGCAAAGACCAAAAAAATCACTTTAGTTTTTTGTTTTGGGGAGCTATCTATCATCAGGCAGCTTAAAGCAACAGTTTTTAGGTAAATATCAGCCCTCTTTAGTTTCACACTGCGTGATCCTTTCTAGAGTTTCACATTTTCCTGACAGTGAAAAAGAGTAGCTCCTTTCATTGAGATGTAGACACCCTCTGAGAAAATTATGACATACACTCATAAAGGTATTTTAGCAGAAATACAAAGGTTGGAGATAAACACAGTAGCTAAAATAAATATTGTATATACAAAACAAAAATAAGAGCCCTAACATATAATCTCCTTGGTTTACTAAGACAAGGGATACAGCAGGTCCTTACACCCAACGACTCGGCAAACAAAAGATTCAGTAGGCAGCTGTGGATGCTACCAGGGCAGACTATCTCACAAGACCTCATACCAGGTTTCCACACATTTTATTTTTAAGCAAGCTGTGTCCACAGCATAGGGAAATGATCCTCTGAGTCTCTGACTACATCTGATTGGGCCCAGAGGCTTCCAGAGGATAAGAACAACATCCTGCTGTCTAGATGTGAGAGGGGTGGTCGGAATTTTGTTCAGAAAGACACCATTTCCTCTCTGAACCTGTCCTGGAAATACTTACGAAGCAGGTGCCACTCATCTTGCTGTATGGTCTTGGTTAAATTAAAAGGAATGTTTCGTAAGCGGATGGGCTGAGAAAAGTGGTACTTGATGGCCGTGCATCGCTGCGCAATACCTTGAAGGAAATAAGAAACGCGATTTACGAGTCTGCTTATTTGTAACAGAATTCTGAGACCTGAAGCAGAATACTGTAACCTAACCTGGGTTGAATGGGAGATGAGATAAGAATCTCTTGATTCAGAGCAATGAAAACCTAAAACATAAAATAATGTTTAAAATCAGGTTTCATTTTTTAATGTATTAAATTGTATAAGGATCTATACTCCCCTAATTGTTTTCCGATATGGAGTTTGTTTTACCTAAACACAAAACTCCTCAAGGAGAAATGGCCTAAAAGTACACAGATGGTTGGGAAAATCAGCTTAGAATTTTAAATTAGCACAGATAAATCACATATCTGAATCTGATCCAGTCTCAAACTCTCAAATGGGTAGCCTCATGAAGTTCATTACGAAGTGTGTTATTTGGAAACCAGAAGACATTTTTCCATAAAGATAACCTTCCACATGGTTTAGGTGGTGATTATATCTCCAGACAACCCTCAAAAGCCTATTTAACCCTAGTGCAGCTGATATAATTCCTTAATAAAATTATACTGACCTGAATTCTAGATCTTGAGAAAAAGGGTAATACTGAAAGTAGAAACAAGAAAGAAAATAATTTTCCTCCCCTATCTGGTTGTATGGCCAGCTCCAGGCACAATATTTTGACATGGGCAGGTGTACACATTGGTTAATCTAGTAACTCTCTACCTCCTCACACCCACCTCACACACCCATGTTTTACTGCATAAATTAACATGGGTCCATTATTCTCTTCTCCTAAAGGCTTCTGAATTTCATGAAAAGTATCTACTGTGTCTTAAAATTTATAAAACTTATAAAATGTTCTTCTCTCACTTTAAATCATCTTGGCCAGTTGTTTGGATAAATGCAATCTGATTAAACTAATTTTTTAAAAAGCATGAGTGACTGTTAGTCCTTTAACACTGCCAGCTGTTTAAAAAAAATATTCATAGATGCAAATAAATTTCTAATTGGTGGAATCTTAGTGTGTATAAAAGTGAAATTTTAAAAAGATTATACAGTGAAGGGAAGAGATTAATATTTGTGCACAATTTGCATCATGAACCTCAGTCCCTCCTGTGAATGCACCTACAGGATCATCTTCCCTAAGGAGTTTCTCAAATATTAGTGTACATAGGAATCGCCTAGGTGACTCGTCAAAAATTTAAACTCCTGGACTCTACCCCAGATACATTGAATCAAAAGTTTTGAGATGGAGCCAGGAAGCTGAATTTTAACAAGCATCCCAAGTAATTCTGATGCATGTAGTCTTTGAATCTCTCTTTGAGAAAAACTACCCAAACTATCTCTGATTTTTGAAATCTTTTTTTTTTTATGAAACCACACATTTTCTCAAAATTCAAAGTTCTTTTTTTTTTTAATTTGTTTTGTCAACATGAGCCCAATGGCAGTGGTTGTGAGGTCTAAGGCATTAAAGGTAGCTGTTTACTTATAAGTTAGCTGTTTATAAGTCAGGAAATGCCTGTGCTTCCACAGGGAAAATAATATAGTATGAGAACAATGACAGATAAAGGACCACAAACGTAGTAATAGCTTACATTTGTATTCTTCAGAACTATCATTCCACTTGAGACTGACCTTGAGGCTCTGTAAGCAGGAAGTGAAAGCTACGGCAGAGTTGAAGGCATACTCAACACGCACACAACAAACCCCATTGGCAAAGACTGGAAGGTTTATTGGTTTTAGCAGGCTAAGAACATTTCCGTACAATTAGTTTACCACTAAGCCAATCAAGCAGAGACTTAAGGGCCCTCCTATGACAAAGAATACAGACTTCATAGGATTCATTCAGGAAAGCCACTAAAGAAACAACAGCAACAACAATAAAAACAATAATCAACCCTAGAGAGGGACAAGAATCTCATTTCAGAGCTGCCATAGTACGTTATTTCAAATTCCCAGTTTTCAACAAAAAAAGTACAAGACATGCAAAGAATAAAAAAAAAGAAGCAGTCAATAGGAGCTGTCACTGAGGGATCCCAAATATTGGACTTACCTTACAAAGATTTTAAATCAGCTATGTTAAATATGTTCAAAGTAAAGAAAACCTATCCAAATAACTAAAGGAAAGGACAAGAGTGCTGTTTCACTAAATAGAGAATATTAGTAATAAGACAGAAATATTCTTGAAAAGAAAAAAACAGAAATTCTGGAGTTGAAAAGTATAATAACTGAAAAGAAAAATGCATCAGAGGCTTAAAAGAAGTTTTGAGGAGGTAGAAAAAAGCAACAAACTTGAGGACAGGTCCATTGAAATTATCCAATCTGAGAAAAATAAAGAAAAAAGGATGATTTTAAAAATGGTCAGGGCCTCAGAGACCTGTGAGGCACCATCACAAGCATAATGAGAGCTGCAGAAAGGAGGAGAGAAGGAAGATCAAAAAAGAATATTTGAAGAAATAACTGCCAAAAACTTCCCAAATTTGATTAAAAACATGAACCTGCATTTCTAAGAAGTTCAAGGAACTACAAATAAGATAAATTCAGAGACCCACACCCAGATAGATCATAATCAAACTGTTGAAAGCCAAAGACAGAGAATCTTGAAAGCAGCAAGAAAAAAGCAAATTATCATATACACCAAAAAAATCTTTGAAACACAATCAGCTGATTTCTCATCAGAAATCATGGAGGCCAGAAGGGAATAGGATGACATATTCAAAACACAGAAATAAGAAGACTGTCAACCAAGAATCCTATATGCATCAAAGTTATCCTTCAGAAATGAAGAAAAAAAAATAAAATATTCCCAGCTAAACAAAAACTGAGAGACCTGGCCTAAAAATAAATACTAAAGGGAGTCTTTCAGGGTGAAATGAAGGATAATAACTGAACTCATATTTAAAAAATAAAGAGCACATATAAAGTTTACAACATAATGTATTTTTGTTTGCAGCTTTTTTTCTCCTATCTGATTTAAAAGACAAAAAGCAATAATTATAAATCTTGGTTGATCAGCATACAATGTATAAACATGTAATTTGTATGACAATAATAGTACAGAGGAGGAGAGTGGGGATGAAACTATATAGAAGCAAAGTTTTTATATACTATTGAAATTCAATTGGTATTAATCCAAACTAAATTAAGACGTCACTTGTAATCCACAGGGCAACAACTAAGAAAATAACAAAAAAAAATGTAGTAAATGAAACAATGACAACAAAAAGAATTAAAAAGCTATGTTAGAAAACACGTATTTGACACAAAAGAAAACATTAATGAGGCCGGGCGCGGTGGCTCAAGCCTGTAATCCCAGCACTTTGGGAGGCCGAGACGGGCGGATCACGAGGTCAGGAGATCGAGACCATCCTGGCTAACACAATGAAACCCCGTCTCCACTAAAAATACAAAAAAAAAATTAGCCGGGCGTGGTGGCGGCGCCTGTAGTCCCAGCTACTCGGGAGGCTGAGGCAGGAGAATGGCGGGAACCCGGGAGGCGGAGCTTGCAGTGAGCCGAGATCGCGCCACTGCACTCCAGCCTGGGCGACAGAGCGAGACTCCGCCTCAAAAAAAAAAAAAAAAAAAAAAAAAAAAAAAAAAAAAAAAAGAAAACATTAATGAAGAAACAGGAAAAAAATGCATATGTCATATAGAAAACAAATAGACAAACGGCATATATAAATCCTACCTTACCAAAAATTATACTAAATATAAATATATACTCCAATAAAAAGGCAGAGATTGGCATTGTAGATAAAACAACATAATCCAACTATATGATGTCTACAAGAGACACAAATAGGTTGAAATTTTAAAGGATGGAAATTTTAAAGGATCTCTCTACAAGAGACATAAATAGGTTGAAATTTTAAAGGATGGAAAAAGATATACCATGAAAACTGTAACTGAAAGACAGATGAAATGGCTATACTAATATCAGACAAAACAGAATTTAAGACAAAAATTGTTACTAGAGAGAAAGAAAGATATTTTATAATGATAACTGGGTTTATCCATCAAGAAGATATAGTAATCATAAACATATACTGACCAATAGAGCCCCAAAATACATGCAGTACCAAAAACTGACAGAATTGAAGGGAGAAATAGACAATTCAATAATAATAGTTGGAGGCATCAATACTTCTCTTTCAATACTAGTAAAACAACTAGACCGAAGATCAACAAAAAACAGAAGACTTGAACAACATTATAAACCAACTAGATACAAGAGACATCTATGAACACTCCATCCAACAACAGCAAAATACACATTCTTTTCAAGTGCACATAGAATATTCTCTAGGATAGACCATATGTAGGCAATAAAATAAATCTTAATAAATTTAAAAACATTAAAGTCATACAAAGTAAGTTCTCTCACCACAATGCAATGAAATTAGAAATAAATAATAAAATAAAATTTTGGAAATTCACAAATTTGTGGAAATTAAGTAATACACTCCTAAATAACCGATAAGGTAAAGAAGAAATCACTAGAGCAAATTAGAAAACATTTTGAAATTAATAAAAACAAAATTACAACATACCAAAATTTATGTGATGCAGCTAAAGCAATGTTTTGAGGGAAATTTATAGCTGTAAATGCCTACATTAAAAAAATATCTCACCTGGCACAGTAGCTCATGCCTGTAATCCCAACACTAGAGAAACTGAGGTGGGAGCGTCACTTGAACCCAGGAGTTCGGGAGCAGCCTGGGCAACACAGTGAGATCCTGTCTCTACAAAAAATAAACAAAATTAGCCAGGCATGATGGCATGCACCTGTAGTCCTAACTACTCAGGAGGCTGAGGTAGGAGGATTGCTTAAGCCCAGGAGATGTAGGCTGCAGTGAGCTGAGACTGCGCCATTGCACTCCAGCCTGGGGGACAGAGTGAGACTATCTCAAAACAAAAATAAAACCAAAAAGATCTCAAATCAGTATCCTAACTCTCCACCCTAAAAAACTAGAAAAAGAAGAGCACACTAAGGAAAGAGATTACAAAACTAGGGTGGAAATACATA